GGCACGGCACTGCACCCACATCTACTGTGGGCGACTGTCCGCCCCGGCTGGCCGGCTGGTCGGCTGGTTTAACGTTAATTTGCACAATTTTTGAGTTATGTCAATCGATTTCTAATGGGCGTCGTCCGCGTACGCCTTCCCCCGCACTCCCCCACTCCCCCACTCGCACGACAGACCTGCCAGGGGGTGCCAGGGGGTGGCACTGGGCGGTACAGCCCTCAATTTGTAGTTTTATAATTGAAACAAGTGATTCGCTCGGTCTCTCTGTGTGGTCGCTGTCTCTCTCTCTCTCCCCTCCTCCCCTCTCGCTGTGTGCGTGAAGGGGAAATGGTTCAAAGTGTTTCACAGTGATTTGGTATCTCGGTATCTGTCAGAACGGCTTGACTCTCAGGTGCTCTGATGGGTGTGTGTGTGTGTGGGGTAGGATAGTAATTAGTTTAAGTAGATCTGAGGGATAACAAGGGTTGCAGGCTTGCAAGGTCAGGCATCTACAAGAAGAAAGACATTTGGAGCTTGGTTACTTGTACGTATTTTAAACCTGAAAGTTGTTTACTTCTGGATATACAGGGGAAAAGTAGTAGATTCCACGAGGAAAGAGTGCCCTGAGAGTTGGTTAAGGGAGTCCCTGAGGATGTGATGCTAGGCCTCAAGGCATGCGGAACTGGAATACTGAATGATCTCTTATACGACAAAAATAAACATTCTTAATCATTCTGTTCTCTAAAATGTTAAAGATTGATGGTTTATTGGCTTTCGTTAACATTTTGTGGCAATAAATGCTTCCTGATCAAACATTTCATATTTGTGTTGTATTTTGCAGCTGTTTTCTGCCTAAAATCAATGGATAAATTTGTTCCTCTAGACTTTCGCCCCTACCTCTTGCTTTCTCCACTACCTATAGTCCTCTCTCCACTAACCCTACTAGCAACAGTCCTCCCTCTACTAATTATAGTCCCTCCTGCAACTCTGAAAAAATCTCTATTTATAGCATCGTCTGTCAGATGTTATATACGAAATGCGAAATGTGAAAATGCCAATTAAAAAGCAGCCCATAAATATGCAATGGATTTGCGCAATTATCGCAGAGCCCCGCCCACACAGCGCCCCTCCGCCACACACACACACACACCCACTCTTGAGCACCCTTTTATTTATGACATTAATGCATAAAATAATATAAATATAAATTGGAAACCAAAAATGCTGCCCAATGACAATTTCAGACGAGACACAGCGGAAAACCACAGCAGCGGAATGGCGGCGACTGTGAGGGGGAGGGGGATGGGCGTGTGGGCGGGGTGGAGCATCCAGACGGCATCAAAAATGTTGTCATTAAATTCCGCGATTGCGGTGCTTGGGTGGAGGGGGGCTTTCCTCGTTTCTTTTTTTCGGCGGGTGCCCCTGCAACAGAAATTGCATTTCATATTTTATTCACGATGCACATGGGCCAAAAAGTGCAACAAAAAACATTTGGTTCGGGACGAAAGGGATGGCCAGAGGGCGGGGTACGCCGCCCGGGCCATACACACAGCATATGGTACGAGTACATATATAGTATGTACATACATGCCCCCGGGGCTATGCTGCCACAGCCACTGCCGCTTACCGCCATTCGTGGCCCTCTCCATGCCATCGATTCACGCACCCATGAATGTATTCAATTGCATTTTCGCATTGCCTACTTACAGGCGAAATTTCCCATTCCCTTGTTGTAGCCGTTGCATGTTGCACATAAAATCCATTGCTAAATAACGGTTAATGCAAAACAGCGACAACATTGCAGCAACAGCAGCAGCAGCAACAACAACAACAGCAACAAAATTGTGTTGCAACAACGAGAGAAGAGCGGTTTTTGATACCCTTTAAAAGAGAGGGTGTTGTGCCCTAGAGGAGATCTTTGTATCTAGTGTGTGTATTCCTATTAAAAGTCGATATAATCGGTGAAAAATATGTTTTTGATGAAGAATGAATCAGAATCTACAATTCAGGGATGATATTATTCGTATTTTCATGATCGGCATCAATAGGGGATTCGATAAAATCATATTTATCTATTTTTCTATCCTTTTACTACATTTTCTGTGGCTAAAATGTTCCACAGTTCCTTCTTTGAGCTGCAAACCCCTAAGATCTGATTACCATATCACACAGATATCATAGATAGTAGTCGATAAAATCCTTAGGCTCTTATGTTTCGTTAAAGATTCGACACAAATGAATGAATATCGAAAAACATGGCCCTCCAAAGAGTATCTGCATCTTCCACTCTCTAAGACCGAAGCCTCCTCCTCCGTTTCATTGTTGTTTTTGCTGAATTTCGAAAATTACACACAAAATGGTCGTCGAATTTTAAATCATTTCGGCACACACGATACGATGTGGGGTTCCGAAAGAGCGGTAGAGATAATGCCAGAGATAGGAGGATATACCCGTGGAAGTGCGAATACTGGGAGGATTATGGGGCACAGGGCGCGGAGGGAGTGGGGGTGGGGGGGCATAGTTTGCCATTTTGTTGTAATTGCTTTTGGCCCGGGCCTAGTATATACAAAAGCTCTGGGCCCGACTGTTTAGACTTGTTATAGCACTGTGTTATGGGGCGTCAGTTGATAATGGCAGCCTCGTTATGCCCCTCTCATTGGGGGCTATTTGTGGGGTTCTTGTTTAGTCGGCGCTGCGCTGCATTTCTGCAATTGGCTGTTGCTTTTGGCTAAAATATGGCCCGCGTTTTATTTAACGCTTTGTTTGGCAATCCGGCGTAGAGGAGGTGACTATTCTCGACGCCTGATGGTAGTTTTTCCTATAGAGAGAGTCAAGTGCTGCGTTGCGTGGGGGTGCGTGGGGGGTGTGTCAGAAGAGGCGTTCAGTAATCGCGTTCATATTGCTAGGCCTCGGCTTATAACGCTTTCGAAAATGTTTGTGTTTGTTTTTTTGGTTTCAGCAAATTGCAAAAAGAGAATCGAATTTTTGTGGTTTATGTCATGATGGCTTTTAGGTGGGGATGGGGGAGGCTTTCGTATTTGGAATGCGGTTTCAATATAGAGAGAAGATTCACATAAAAGAAGATGTTTCAATGGAAGGGGTTCAAAAATGATGGATAGTACACGTACTTATGGGGAAAGTATGGAAGTTTTCTTTACAATTACCCGAATAACGAAATAAAAAAGATATTTCAGACAAAAAATGTGTGTTATAATTATTTTTAAAGGCTGCAAATTTTCTTTAATGTAGAGAATATTTTTTGTATATTTTTTTCCGCCTTTAACTTAGAATTATTATATTTCGGTCTTTTATCAACATCTATTGAAAATCCTGTACCAAAAATCGAGGATCTCTGAAAGAAACTATAGCTTAATCGTTACTCGCTACTCATTTACTCGCTTAGGTTACTCGTTACTCCTTTTCTCTGCACTTGAACCTTTTTGAAACAAAGCATGAACAATGGGCTATGAAAATGGCTCCCCAGCAACCTCTCATCTCAATCAAAGCCCTCCCAAAAGGCTTTCAAACGTAATCTTCCCATCGAAACCTTTTGAATTAACTGTACCCCATAGGCAATGCAGCAGCCTCACCCTCAGAATAGACACGTTGTTTGTCCGCGCCACCAGAGAACTACCTTTTGTATCAACTGTACCCGCAAATAGTAGCCGTAATGAAATATGAAATTTCATTGTTTAACATATTGGTTACTAGGGTTTCCCCCCATCCCCCCCCACCCTTTTCCGCAGATTTTTCCACATTACGAGTGGAATTCCACTTTGTTTTAGCATAAAGCCTGGCCACAAAATGCAATTAAAATAATTTGCCAATAATAATATGCAAATTTCGCCAGCGACAGAAAGTGCCATAAAATCTGCGGGTTGCATATCCCTGTGTGTCCTGCAACCTGCCACTCGATGAGCAATTTTCGTTATCTAAATAATTATTTGGTAAATTGCTTTGTGAATTGCAGACGTCGAAAATTCACAGACCACAAATGACAAAAACAAACGAAATTTGAAAAAAAAAAACCGCGAAATAAAATGCCGATCCATGCTATTTTGGAATTAATCTCTAAAATATACGAAAACCCCACTGCACCCAACGCACTCTTTCCTATCCGTAGTTCCATATGCGAACTGCTTTATTAATATTAATTGAAAATAAATGCACCATAAGCCGCCGCATCGGTCAAAGAGCAGCCGGCAGCCCCATTGGGGAAATGGCTGGGGACTCCAGTGGACTGTGGACTGTGGAGTGCGGAGTGAAGAGGAGGCTGTGTGTCTGTGGCCAAAAATGTTGTAAAATTGCGAATAATTAAATGGCAACCAATAAAATATGCAAATGAGTTGCACGAACGACACACAACGGGCAGTGGACAGAGGGTAGAGTGGGGGATAAGTGGCAGTGGAATATTTGCAAAATGACATGAAGTATGGTGTGTGTAATGGTGAAGCAGATCCCTCAAAGGGTGCTATAGAGGCGGTGCAGCAGAGGATGGAGAGAGAAGGCCAGATACAGATACAGATCTATAGATCCGGCATATCGATCGGCATGGCACATAAAGAGATCCCTCTTTTGGCCCCTTACATGCACGAATATAGTAAGATATATCCGTTTACACTCAAGAGTACTAGATATCAAGTAATATTCCTCTGTTCAAGGCTATAATCTTTTGATTAGACACTTATAGGGCCCCAGAGAGACATTTTACATTAAAGAGAACGTTCTAATGACCATCTTTCACTTAGGATATTCAAGAATTTCGTAATTGAATCCAAGTTAAGATTATAAACATCAATTAATCCAACTTTAAGAGCAAATTATAATAAGAATAAGATAAAGAAATAAAAGCTCTTGCTTTTTTCCATAAACGTTCCATCAATTACTGAATATAAAATGGACTTAAAATCAAATTTATTTTTTAATAATGTCACCATTAAATTCTCTATTTCGACGTCTTTTTTGTTGTGTTGAATCGCTAGAATTATACATTTTTGTGCTTTTTTTTACGACCTATTCAGGCATTGGATTACGATTGTGAGGTTCAGGGCCAACAGGACATACCGCAGGCCATCCAACTGCTGGGAGAGATGAACAGCAATGTGAAACAGGTCACAGACCTCGTGGAGGGCATGCTGCAGCGAGTGAAGCGCGGAGAGCTGACCACAGAGTACGGATTGAGTTTCCTGGAGGTGAAATATCATATGCTGTTGGACTACTTGATCAATCTGACGTATGTGGTGCTGCGCAAGTGCTCCGGCGAGACCATCGAGGGGGATCCCTCCATCGAGCGGCTCATTGAGATACGCACTGTGCTGGAGAAGATCCGACCCATCGATCACAAGTTGCGCTACCAGATCGACAAGCTGGTCAAGACGGCCACCACGGGAGTGTCGAGCAGTACAGATCCGATACTGTACAAACCGAATCCGGATGAGATGATGAGCAGTGCCGCTGGGGCGGACAATGACGACGAGGACGAGGACGATGATGCGCAGGCAGGCAGCGACAGCGATGAGGACGAGGATGAGGAGGACGAGGCAGGAGCAGGTGCAGCGAAAAAGCCACGGAAGGCCGCAACAGCAGGAAAATCGGGAGTCTATGTGCCGCCACGCATCAAACCCGTGTACTACGATGGCGATGAAAAGGATGCCGACAAGGAGAAGAAGGCCTTGGACAGGGCCAAGAAGAGGGCCATCACGTGAGTATCCAACACAAGAGTTTTCCGAGCTTCCATTCATCATTATTACTTTCTCCTCCAGCTCCTCCATGCTGCAAGACCTCAAAGAGGAGTATTTGGACGCCCCAACAGAGATATCTTCGGGCTCAAGGGCCCAACAGATCCTCTCCAATGCCCAGAAGGAGAAGCAGGAGTACGAGGAGACCTATCTGATGCGTCTGCCAGTGACCAAAGCGGAGAAGCATCGCCAGAGGAAGCTCACCACGTTGGGTAAGCACTTTGAGCACAACCCTTTAAAGAGCTAAATCCTAATCCTAATGTACTTTGCAGGCACACTGGGCGAGGAAATTCTGGGTGAAATCAGTCGGGAATCGGCGCTGCGGGGAGATGGCAGCAAAAAGCGCAAGTTGGCCAAGTCCCGGGGCAAGGGAAAGAAGAAGGGCAGTGGAAAAAAGCGAAAGTTTAATTAATCGGAAAGATTCTGAGGATACAATTATAGTTTTTAAACATTTTTAAGCACTCGAGACTTTTCTTCGATTACTTGAGATCTTCCATTAAGTTTTTGCTTTAGTTGAACTCCGTTTTTCATATAGTTTTTCATTAGAGAACCTCAGTTGATATTTTCATTGGATAATGTTACGTTTTTTATAATCAAATTTCCATTAAAGTTTTCTTATATTTTTCCACAAAACCAAAACTGTGTGTTTTCTCTATTTATTTTTAATAGTTTTTTTTTAAGATACGTAAACATAAAATATATTCCAAATAAAATATAATATAATATATACAAAAAGGCGCATTGTAAACTGCATACAAATTTAGGCCACAAAATTAAACATTTAAGTTGCAATTATTCAATTAAAAACATTATGCAAACAAAAACTAAATTAAGTAAATTTTAAACAAAAAAAAAACAAAATTCCAAATTAAAAACTTTGTCTAGTAATATATTACAAAAAAAAACGAAAAATAAAATTTCCAAATTAAAAATTTAACACTTAAGGCACAGCAAAATTAATCTTAAAGGATAACCAAAACATATTTCGTTGTTTTTAGGAGTCAAACCAAAATACAAATTAAACAACTTTTGGGCAAAAGAAATCGTTCGGCAGAAGCTTTAGTTTTTCCGGAAAAATCACTTAAGTTGAAATAGAAATTGAAACCACAAAATTCAAAAATGCAGATAAGACAAAAATATTGTAAAAAGAAAAGAAATTCCAAAAACCAAAACCAAAAGCAAAAACTAACAAAAAACCAATACAAAAAACGAACAAACTTCAGTGACAAAAAGCAGATGCCTTAACAAGAGACCGGTTTATACAGTAAGAAAGAAAATCGAATGAAAAATCGAAAACAAAAAACGAAACAATTTTGACAACAAATTTTTATGTTGGCCTATAGAAAAAGAAAAGCAATGAACGAAAGAAAGACTATATAGAACTATGATAACGTAAGCCCCACCCAAAAACCAAAAAAACGAATATAAAAGACGAAAAAAAACTATAAAAAACAGAGCAAATATTTGAGAAACAAAAGCCAGAAAAAAACCCGTGTGGAAAGTTCTTTTAGTTTGAAAGAGAAAAACTCCTAAAAACAACTGAATTTAGACACAAAATTTTATATATTTCTTATATATATATAATGATTAAATTTAAAATTAAGCAAAAACCAAATTTTGAATAACCAAAAACGAAAGAGATGCTACGTCCACTTGAAAAGTTTTTAAAATTATGAAAAAAACGAAAGCAGTTTATGTAGAATGCGCGCAATAGATGGTTGGATGGATGGATGGATCGATCGGAGAGAAATATATTAAAATATATTATTAATTACTATCATTAAATGTAAAAACCATAAAACAAAACAAAAACACCATAAATCCTAGCACTAAGATTATATAAGAAAGCAAAGCAAAGCAAAACTTTTGGCTTTTACAACCAACTTTGACGAAGAAAAGTGAAATTTATTCGAAATTTTCTCAAGAGACAAACAACTTTGTCGTGTTTTTGGCTATAAACTTTAATGGACATATGAAGGAGGGACATATGGATGGATGGATGGATGGATGGATGGATCGTAAGGCAGACTCAAGGACAAGCGAAGAAAGAAATTACCACATAAATGCAATAGAACTCGAAATTATTTACAGGCAGAACAAACAGCAGAACAGCAAACGGCAAACAGCAGAATGTTTTCTTAAATCTAATCCAAATAAATTAATTTAATTAATTTATTTATGTGTTGAAAGCTGAAAGACTGAATATGTTAAAACGAACTAAAAAAAAACAAAAAAAAACAAAACGAAGAAACAAAAAACCAAAATGAAACGAACGAAAGAAAAAACGAAGCGAATGAATAATGAAAAGAAATGTAAAACTTTTTCTCAAGCGATCGATGTGTACGAACTTAAATAATTTTAATAGCCGAATTTCTAGCACAAATTTTTACTAAAAACCAAACCGAAGAAGATGACTAAAACATGGATTTTTTCTCTATCATTTTCTATCGACAATTGCAAATCGCTTTTGATTTTCGTATGATTATTTTGCGTTAATTTTCTTTTGAATTTCCATTCAAAATGCAAATTGTTCCTCTTTTTGTGTATGTAAATGAGAAATGTGAAAATGCGGTGGAAGAAAGCATGAGAAAATATATTGCAGAAACGTGTAAAGAGAACAAAAACAAACGAGAAGAAAACGAAACAAAAGTGAAAACAACCAAACAAAAGTCGCCTTAGCCAAGCACCACAAAGCAAAAAACAAAAGCAACAAAAACGATACGATACGAAACGAAACGAAATGAAAAACTTTGTAAAACCAAACAAAATACTATACTAAAATACCAAACAAAAAATACCACAATTATTTGTTGTAATTTAAAATAATCGAAACACACACACACGCAACAACATCAACAGCAACAACAAAATAGTGCAAAAAGTTCAAAAAAAAAATCGAAAAAAAATGTAATTTAATTTTTATAGCCAAAAGAGGAAGGAAATCCGAAAGGAGGATGGGATCTGGATGAGGTTGAAGATGGGGTACATCCAGCGATGGATCGAATGGATCATTTAGTTCTTAAGAAGCAGAAAACACTCGAAGAAATTCTGAAACGCGAGCAATTGTTTGACTTAGTGATAAAAATACAGTTTAATACTCTTACTCTTACTCGTATGTTTTTTACTCAACACACCACAAAAATTCGAGCTTAAATTATTTTCCAAAAACAAAACAAAAAATTCCATTTGGCAATTGGTTCTCCAAAAAGATTTTTTTAAAAGAAAGAACAAATGTTGTATAAAAAACACACAGAATTTGATAGAGCGGGAGCAGAAACAGGAGCATGATAATGATATGATGATAAGTTTACGATGTATAATGTTTAAATGTGTGGAAAATGGTTGGCCCTCATATGTAAAATTGATCTACTTATATAAGTTTAATTAATCTACCAATAATTAATAAGCAAACAACAACCATTAAAACCATAACTATAATATGATAAATTCCAAAAACAAAAACAAAAAGCCCAAAACCGAAAATCTGAAACGGTTGATAAATTACAAATTAAAGCAAAAACTAAAGAAATTTTGTGGATTTTTTTGTATTTAGTGGGTGCTGTAGGGATTGCTTTTTGGAGACAGGAAGTGGGTATAAGATGTGCGATTAGATCTGGTATACTATCCCAAAAAAGATGTATCTATGAGCCTGATCCATAATCTATGAAAATCTTGGGAGTAATGAATTGAATCCGAGGACAAAAATCCATAAAATCCAGGCATACTCCCTTCTACATCCTCTATAGTCACAGTCCTTGGGGACTCTGGTTCTTTACCTTTTTCAGATTAAATTCTCTTCGATCCTTGTCTAATAGCTCAAGTCCTCGATTGCACCTTTTGGATTTTAAAATTGATAGCGCCAACACCCATCTCGACTATATTCTATTTTTCGCCTTTCAAATACCTTTAATTTATTTATACATTTATATATTACTCGTTTATTCAATACGCAAACAATAAAACGTTACAGTTACATATTTACAAAATACAAAATAATAATTATTGCACAGGAAATTTTAAACTTTCAGCCTCTCTCTGGGCAAACACTGGGGCTCTCTCCGCCTTAAAATTTTCCTTGCTTCTCGGCCTTCAGCTTCTGCTTTTCCTTCAGCAGAGCATAGCACTCGGGCACCTTGTTGTAGAAGTCGCAGAGCTTCGACTCCGAATTGAAGGCCAGATACTTGCCGCAGTTGTACAGACGCGGATGTCCATTCACGCAGACAAAGTACTTCTTGCAGGTCTGCGGATGACGGTAGTAGCGGAGCTCTCCCTCGGGACTGACATCCACCTCGGGGGCAATGGCATCGACGGGCTCGGCGGCAGGGCAATTGAAGCCCAGGAAGGCTTCGGCATTGCAGCTTCCGACTAGATCGGGCCAGTCGCACTGGTACGTCTCCTCGTTGAAGGCCAGTCCCTCGGGGCACTTGGTGAGGCTTGCCACACCGTGGGCGCAGTTGCGGTAGACGCCGCACTTGGTCTCGTCTCCGTTGGGGTAGAAACCAAACTGTCGGGGGCATTCGTCTGTGCCGTTGGCAGGCTGCAGTCGCGCCCTCTCCTTGCAGGTGGAATACGGCGCGTAGGTGCACTCTCCTGTGGCTTTGGTTCTCTGGTGGAAGAGCAGGCCATCGGGACAGAGCTTCGGCGTGGGCACATCATCCAGGCATTCTGTGTAGGCATCGCACTGATCCCCGGAAGCAAAGCGACCATTTGGGAAAGGGCATTCGGGGGAGGAGAGAACTGGAAGGAAATAAGAAATATATATTTTAGAACAGGAATTATACGTCTGGGAAAGTTCTATAAAAATAATTCCAGATATCTCTTCGTTTTCCTTAACAAATTTCCATTCTTTATTTTGTGCAAAGCAAAAGATACAAAAGATTCAATTTGCCAACGATCTTTAACTACAGACTAGAAAACTCGAGCAAACTCATATGCCACATGTTGCATGGCCTTTTTTTGCATGGGGTTAGTCTTCCAAAAAAAAAACACACTCCTTTAGTTCTTGGATCTGGCGTGGGCACGAGCCGCCTTGATCTGGGCACCCTTCTCCCTGATTTCACTGCTGCAGTTGGGGACATTCTCAATGTCGTCGCACTGGTTGAGCTCCTGATTGAAGGCCTGATCCTCGCCGCAGCCAATGCGGCGTGGACGTCCCTCAATGCAGATGAAATACAGCTGGCAGTTGTCCGGGGAAGGATGGAAGGTGTAGTCGGCCTCCTGCTCGCCCAGGAGCTCGGACTTGAAGGCAGGGGCAGGGCAGCTGAAGCCCAGGAAAGCCTCGGCATCGCACTCCTCGACCTGATCGGGCCAGTCGCACTTGTAGGTGGACGGATTCCAGGCCAGACCCGCCGGACAGTCGAACACGAAGCCCTTGCCGGAAGCACAGTTCATGAACTGTCCGCAGTGGCTGGCATCGCCCATGCGGTAGTAACCGAACTGATGGGGACAATCCTCCGTGGGCTGGGCGCTCTGCAGGCGGGACTGGGCCTGACTGCACTCCACATCGATGGGATAGCTGCAGGGATAGCCAGTGGACTTCTCGTTGTAGAACAGACCGTCGGGACAGAGCTTCTCCTCGGCCACACCATTCTTGCACTCGATGTAGGC